TTGAGTTGCGTTGGATTGGGTTGGGAAGGACCTTAAAGATCAGAGAGTCATGGGATGGTTGGGTTGGGTTGGATTGGGTTAGGAGGGACCTTAAAGACCATAGAGCCATGGCATGGTTGGGTTGGAAGGGTCCCAAAAGCTCATAGAACCATGGGATGGTTGGGTTGGGTTGGGTTGGGTTGGAAGGATCCCAAAAGTTCATAGAGCAATGGGATTGTTAGGTTAGGTTGGATTGGAAGGGTCCCAAAAGCTCATAGAACCATGGGATGGTTGGGTTGGGTTGGGTTGGGTTGGGTTGGAAGGGTCCTTAAAGATCATTAACCCATGGGATGGTTGGGTTGGGAGAGCCTTAGAACTCATAGAAGCACACGGTAGTTGAGTTGGAAAGGTCCTTAAAGATCACAAAACTACAGAATGGGCTGAGTTGGAAAGGAGCGACCCAACGCCTCGCCCCAATCCAATGCCGTCCACTTGACCTTGTTGATTCCCACAGGTCCCCTCCCCAAGCCCATCAGCGGGGCTTCCCCACACCATCCCCCAGCACTGCCCCATCCCCACCTTGCTGTGCTGCACTGTCAAGCGGATGCCTCTGCTGTGCTCCTCGCTGGTGGCTGTGACCCACTGGACAGGCTGCACACGTTCCTCCTCTGGTGGCACGTAGGACTCCAGCACCTGGTCAGTGGCCCCATACAGCAGCTTGTCCCCAAGGCACGGGTTCACCAGCAGCACCGACTGCTCCCTGCAGTGTGGGATTGGAGAAGGAAGGGGTCAGGGCACTGCTGGTGAGGGGAAACCCTTCTGCAAGCCCTGCGTGATGATGGCGGGAGGATGGGTGGGATGGTGCGAGCCTGCCAAGCTCTTCTATTGCCAAACAAGGGACAGGAGCTCGAGACCAGAGTCCCCAGTGCTGGAGGTGAGTCCCCAGGATCTCCCTAGAAGCTGAAAAGCTGTGGGAGAGGAAATTCAGCGACACGGAATCACGGAGTCGTTCTGGCTGGAGAAGATCTCCGTGCCCACCGTGGCCAATCCAAGAATCACTGAACCACTGAAGTTGGAAAAGTCCTCCAAGATCAGCACGTCCAATTGCCACGGGAAGCTCCTGGCGGGGGCTGGAGGGTGCAGGACAGGGCAGGGGGGCACTCACACGCAGACGGCCACCAGGCAGACGGTGGGGTTGGGGTTCCAGGCGACGCTCTTCACCACGCCGCCCACAGGCAAGGTCTTCATGCAGCGCGCCGTGCTCACCTCCCAGAAGCGCACCGTGCCGTCATCGGAGCCTGCAGGCAGAGTGCAGTCAGTGGGGCACAGAGTCAGGGAATCGTTACGGTGTTGGAAAAGGCTTCCAAGACCATCGAGCACAACCACCAACCCATCCCCACTCAGAGTCATTAGAGAAGATCACTACGATTATGGAGTCCAACCATCGACACATCCCCACCATTCCAGAATCATAGAATCATAGAATCACCAAGGTTGGAAAAGACCTCCAAGCTCCCCCAGTCCAACCGTTCACCTATTCCCAACAGCTCCTACTGAACCACGGCCCTCAACACAACATCCAGCCTTTCCTTCAACACCCCCAGGCTCGGTGCCTCCCCCACCTCCCTGGGCATCCATTGCAGT